TATATATATATATATATATATATATATATATATATATATATATATATATTAATATATTAATAGGTATATATGATGATCATACATTTCATTGTATTTAAAATCGCAATTATTATTCGCACTATTCCGTATCGCGATCGTTAAATTGTAAGTGCGGCGTTCCCTATATTATACGTTAGTAAAATCTCCTTCGTCGAGTGGAAAACACTTTTATTTATACGGTTTATTTGCTATTTAGCTAAAGTGCGGACCTTGCGGACGTGAGAGTGAAAAATCCTCTTGGAAATGTGTGAAATGCAACACGTGGAAAAGTACATTTACGTGTATATATCCTAGATAGGTACAGTCCTTAAAATTCGTCTATGCAATTTTTATCAAACAAGCTTGAGCACTCTGTAAATGCTTTGTGCACCTTTGAGCAGCAAACTCATTTTATCCAATGTTGTTCCAAGGGGATAAAAAGGCGTTTACCTTATGCTCCTCTTCAAATAACAGTGGAAATATTCGATATATCGTAGTAAATTATGCCTTAAAATTATACAGGGTGATACACCTAGAACGTGACACAATAATTCCCCCTGATTCGTCATTGTTTGGAGTATCATTTAGAAAAATGCATTATTACTTTTCCTAAGCGATGTTATTTGTGGCAGAACTATCGAAGCGAATGCATGCGCTTCTCAAAACTCTCTACAAGTAATAATTTCAACGTCCTCCTAAAAAACCGATACTCTCTTGGATATTAATTCGTCACGCTTTATGTGCCTCATCGCGTACAATTCGTATTGCTTAGTGATTATAAATAAATAGTTCGTCACGCAAGTATGATTTTCTTAATTATTAAACATCTCTCTCAAATAATGCAAACACGATATCAGAAACAGGAAAACGATTTTCAACTACGATCCTCCATTTAACATATGTTTAATAAATGTTTGAAAGAAAAAGGTCAAGATACGGGAGGTCAATATTAAGATACAGCTTAAGATAGGAATGTTTCGCGTACTAGCATGCGTGTCTATGTCGCTGTATCTTCTTCATTCTTTTTCTCTTTCCATCTATCGCATTGGTTTAACATTCACCGCTCTCTGTTCTTTCCATTAATAAAAAATCCGGAAGTTGTTCTCTGTATACATACACACATATATACGTATATGTAACGTATCATCTTTCGTCATTTTTTCTCCTTTTTAAGTATATATAACGAATATTGTTTATAAATTAAAAGCAAAAATTGAATTTGCGGGTCGTCAGTTTATCTCTTCTGTTTCTTGTGTCTATGAGAAAACGTCCGATTATAGTCGACATGTTGGGTCTGGCACTAGGAACTCGAATTCCTAGTAATACTTTGAACAACACGCTGTCCCCACCATGCCTCCAAATTGAACGGCTCGAAATCTGTAAAGTAAAGTGCAATGCACCTGTCGTCCTAGTCGTGATGCATATATTCTAGTGATTGATAACATAGAAAAAATATATTATGGAAATATAAAATTTTTATCGAATATAATTGATTATAATTACATGTATTCTTTAGAATAGATAAAAAACGAAAACATCTCTGGGAATAAATTTTTTGAAAATGAAATCTTTAAAAATGTCAAAATCTAATAATAAAAAAATATTATACCAGACTAATATAGAATTCCAGGTACACAAAAGATCTGTTGTACAAAACAACGCCCAATTGACAACAATCACATGGCAATCAACATGAAAGTATTTTATTAATGATCGATGCAAACAAAACGAGTTGATTTTTACACCATTAAAGGTATAAAGTTCGACTGTTTCATTTGCGATGACCTGATTTGTGCTTCTTTCTTGATTGCCTACCCTTCAGCTGTGGATTTGGCTCGCGTTCTTGGTAATATGTAACTGATGCTCCATTTCTGTAGTTGGAGGTATTACTGTGTGGTTGATTATGACACATATCTAGCTCTCTAGATACAGAATTCCATGCTGAAACAATGCAATATAATATAAAGGAAACTTTTTTCTGAGAATACAGTTATCTAATCTGATTAGTTGAGAAATGAATGACAAACACTTACAATCCCAGATATATTTAATCAAGTCAAAGTGTTGTGCCAGAGCAACCTGTTCTGTCTGACAAATCTCTGGCTGATGTCTAGAAGGCATTGTAGAAGGCCTCTTCCCATTCATCGCTGACATTTGTGATCTACCGCTGCAAAATAAAGTCACAATAAACGATTCTGCTTCACAGAGATACAATATATTCTTATCTATCGCAAAACAAATTTAATCTTTTAAACCTTAATTCCCCAGAATGGTACAGTATGTATACTCTGGGTAGAAGAAAATATTTTTTAAGCTTTATAACATTTTTTACGAATTGTTTTATAAATTGTTAAAACTAAGGTCAAGATGCAACTGTAATGTGAAGAGATCTATGACTGATGATTTAAGGGACAATTTAGAAAGTTAATGCTTAATCCAGCTGACAAAATCTTACCTCTCTCTCTCTCTCTCTCTCTCTCTCTCTCTCTCTCTC